TTTTTTTTTGGTTTCTTTTCTTTCTTTTTTATTTTATTGCCACATCACCCCTTGTAAAACTCCTGTGAAACTTGCTCCTGTACACCTAGCGGAACCGAAATAGCAAAGCCTAGATGAAATCATGAAAGTAACCATTCATGATTCATGTCAGTGTCAATGGCACATCAAAATTTTAATATTCCCAGCATTTAATACATCATTACACACATTCGGCATATGAGATTTTATGAAGTAAAACGTGATTTTTTTCCTTGTTATTCTCTAAAATTCTGAACTCTATTCTACTTGTACTATATAAGTTTTAAAAATGGACTGTAATTTCTTCTCTCTATTTTTTGTGTCGATTAATGTAAAGTTGATATTTGATATTCTGTTGAGCAAGAAACATCTTCCAACGAAGGAAAAATAAAATCGAAAGAAAAAGTCCACATTTGTTGATTAATTAACCATATGTCGAGAATTAGAAACTACAATGACAAGAATTTATTAAGAGTTCAAAATGGAACTCATATTGTTGACCCAAAAACTATACCTTTAACTTGACCCACAAATCTCAAGGCCTCTCACGTTCACGTAAATTTTATTCCTGTACACTTGGAAAAACCGTTAGTGACTTATGGCTTCCTCCGATGGGGGTGGAGTTGATCACGCGCACTCCGACGGTCAAATCAGTTGGGAAAGTAAATATATTAGTGTAGTGTGAGAGAGTTTTAGGTGCGAGCCTCCAATTTAAAAAGGGGGTCAACTTTGGGGAGTTACAAATAAAACAATAAGATGATAAAGTTATAGTTTGAGAGTCTAAATTTGTATTACCTTCAAAATGACACTATGTGTGAGTTTTTATACTATACGAAAACAAAATGAGGGTCAATCGATGGAAAGATACGTTGCCTCATCCGTGCAGCTAATGCCTCTAATCTTAGACATCAATCAATCAATCATGAACCTTTAAATGTTAGTACCACTTTAACATCCATAATATCTAGTTTGCGGCTTTGAACGTGATCGGATAGGCTGGCAGTTGCGGTGATAACAGTGAATGGTCACATCAATCGTATATCAAAAAGATTGCTTGAGAGATCTCGTATTGAGCTCCTTCTGTGGCCTCCCCTCCACCCATGGCCCGGCTCTTCCCAGGAGGGTCAGTGTGGTTTAGTGGGTCGAAAAACATATGGGTTCAGCTACTTTAAGGGGTTCGGTTAGATCAACTTTGTGTTAATATATTTCAGCGAGGCGTGAGGCCCCATCTTTTCTCAACACGTAGGATATTTGGGGGCCCTGTTAATCAAGGCGTAACAATAGTTCCTGAAGTCCATATATGATTATTTATATAGAGCGTGGACTTTCGAGTTGGTCATAAAGAAAAAAGCGGCGCAGCGTAACAATTTGTCCTTGAAGTCCATGTACAATTATTCATATAGTGGGTGGACTTTCGAGGCGATGCTTTTATTAAAGAGGGCGAGGCTGTGGAGCAACTGAAACCTATAATAAGGCTGAATGAAGCGATGCGAGACCCTTGCTAAAGAGGGCAGGGCTGTTGGAGCAACTGAAACCTGTAATAAGGCTGAATGAAGCGAGGCGAGACTCTTGTCAAATAGGAGAGGTTGTTGGAGCAACTGAAACTTGTAATAAGACCGAATGAAGTGAGGTGTGACCCTTGCTAAAGAGGGCGAGACTATTGGAACAACTGAAACCTGTTGGGTACGCCTTGCAATGATTTGAAAGTGAAAGCCCAAGATTGGCTAACCAAGAGGGGGGTGAATTGGTTATTAAAACGTTTTCGTTAATCATTCTAGATTTTAATATAATGAATATGCAA